CGCAACTACCTATCCATTAACTTTTCGCCTGCATTAATATTCACTGCAGGTACCTATACCTAATATTATTTATTGATAGGTTATGTTATGGGTATACATATACACCTGAATATAATGATGAAATCGATTATATAATAATAATTATATAGGTATTATTGTTATCAATATCCTGGTAATATTCATGCATAATTCAGATCATAAGCAATGAACAATGTCCATAGAGGGATGTATAAAATCTGTGAGAATATTTCTTTTTCTGTTCACATTATTCTCGTTTCAAATATTAACACACAACGTGGCGTTTGGTTGGAAATCTCGAACCAAATGTGAGCAGACAAGGTCTATACACGTCAAATTTCAAATCCGGTTTTGCTTCCATTTTTGATATATATGCGGCACCCAAGAAGTGGTTCTGAATCCACTATAAGCTGTAGGTCCCGCTCTTCCTAACCCCGCAGTTTCCACTTCTGGGTAGTTGATTCTTAACACCGAAGTAGCGATATACAGGGTGTCAAAGTTTCAGATTTTTTTAATGTTTTTCTAATTTTCTCCTACAATTTGCGGAATAATTGATTGAAATTTGATACACCTAATACACTTCAAAAACTAAATATTTGAGGCTATTGAGTGTTTTTGAATACCTACAGGATGATAGACTTTCAGGGGTCGTACCCAATTTAACCACGTAGAACTTTTTTGCGTGCCGTCTCTGCTTTCAATGGGACATAGATTCATATTGTCCTTTCAATTCGGAAACTTTTTGCCCCATGTAAATTTTTCGAAAACTGTATGCATCTCGTAACTTGTAATAGAACCGTTTTTTCTCAAACACACATCTGACATTTCTTGAACATTTTATTGGAAAATAGAATGATCGAAAGCTTCCATACCAAAGGAAATTCAGTAACAAAATTGAATTGGATTTTTATTACCATTACAATTAAAACTAGGAAAAACAAAAAAATAGTTTTAATTTTAAAAAAACTTTTTTAACTGGATTGCAAAATGTGAAATTGTATTGTAGAAAATTCTAGGACACCCTGTATAACTGAAACTGGTAAAACTTTTGATATCAGGGACTGTATGACACACGGTCTAGGCGCTACTTATACATCGCTAGACTGTCGCTTCTGACAGTTGAGGTGTTTTGAGTTTTAATAATTCAATCTCGTAAACGGCAGTTCTAATTTTATCAGTACCATTAGAAGTGGTTCGGATTCCACTTTCATCTGTAGGTCCCGCTTTTCCTCTCCCCGCACAAGTTTCGACTTCTAGTGAGTTGGTTTCCAACTTAAAAAATAGAAATGAAGAAAATAATGCGAATTTTGAGCAACATAGAATTGAAAGACGAATTTTACGTGAATTCGACGAGGATCCAGCTACGAGTATAAGAAGGCTGCGCTTGCACTTGGCATTTCGCAAAGCAAGATATTCCGAGTTTTGAGACGAGATCACAGGCACCCTTTTCATTTGCAGCCTGTTCAAGGTTTGCATCCAGGAGACGAAGAACGAAGGTTAAATTTTTCTCGCTGGGGCCTACTTTCAATTCAGAATGATAGAGATTTTTTATCTCACATATTATGGACTGATGAGTCCTGTTCACACGACGAGGCATTGTGAATTTTCACAATCAGCACATAATATGAGCACACGAAAATCCGCACGCAATTCGACCAAGAAATTTTCAACAAGAGTTTAGTGTTAACATTTGGATTGGAATTTATGGTAATCACCTGTTCGGTCCTTATGTTTTACCAGAAAGACTGAATGCCGAAAGTTTTTTGCATTTTTTGCAAACAGAGCACGCCAACATGTTTGAAGAAATACCACTAGATTTGAGAAGAAGGGTGTGGTTTCAACTTGATGGTTGTCCAGCTCATTTTGGAAGAAATGTGAGGAACTGGCTAGATAATAATTACCCAAACAGATGGATTGGTCGGATGGGGCCGGTTGGGTGGCCTCCACGATCGCCAGACCTGACCCCTTTAGACTTTTTTGTTTGGGGATTTTTAAAGGAGAAAGTTTATCGAACCCCAGTTCAAACAAGAGAAGAACTTAATCATCGAATATAAAATGCGTGTCATGAAATAACAGTTCAGAATTTAAATAACGCGAGACGTTCAATTCAGCGCCGGTTTGAAATGTGTCTGGGACAAAACGGTTCATACTTTGAGCATTTACTGTAAGATATTTTATCGAAATTTATTGTGTTTATTTTTTTCGTGTCCTTAAACTTCAATAACTAAATGTCAAATGAAGTGTATTACAACTAATTTATTCTTGGTATATATCTCGAAATCCATAGAGTTTTAGAAAAACATACATTGAGGCAAAACGTTTCCAAATTGTAGAGACAATCTGAATCTATGTCCCATTGAAAGCAGAGGCGGCACGCAAAAAAGTTTAACAGGGTTAAATTTGGTACGACCCCTGGAAGTCTATTACCCTGTAGGTATTCAAAACTCTCAATAGCCTCAAATATCGAGTATCTGAAATGTATTAGCTGTACTAAATTTCAATCAATTATTCCGAAAATTGTAGGAGGAAATTCAAAAAACTTTGACACCCTGTAAATCGAAAACGAAGCCCCCACGCATATAAGTTTGTTTGAGATTTTCATCTTAAAAAACTGTCTTCTTCAAGCTGTTGAAGTCCTGCTACAAAAAACTGAAACAAAATTTGACCACGCGCTTTGTTTGTATGTATTTATGTAACAATATAAATTGGTTGCTATGGAAATGGAAATAATTCTGAATTTCTGATTGGTGGAACCACTCTATGTATACCCACGTATATTCGAAATGATACAAGTTAAAGCTTTGCAAAATTGAACGTTTTGATTGGTTGAAAATCATACCAAGAAAATAATCAAAGAAAGACTTCAAGCAGGTCAATAAAAAAAGTTATGAAGCAATGTCAGGGCCTCCTCGAACTATACGAAAATACTCACAATCAATCATACTCAAAATTGAATAAACCTGCTGTTAATGCAGGTAGAATATTCTCACCACACAGATTTTGCATTGATTCTGATTTGTTGCATTGCATACATATGGCACGGCATTGGTATGGTTACTTCACATAATTTTTTGAGGTAATTGTTTCGGTTGCAGAAAAAATAGCACGTTTCATTCGGATCGAAAGTGACTTTGTTTGACTCGCAAATTTTGCTGTCGCTCGGCTTTGCTAAACGCTCCGCCACGCAAATGCAAAATTTGCTTGTCAAACGAAGTGTCTTTTTTTATCCTAATAAAACAATCTACTATTTTAGTGGGTTCATATCTAGTGTTTTTATGTTCCTTGCGCCTTTCAGAAAATTGTACATCAAAATCGTGCTCAGCGATTTTTTTTATCGCTTGGAGCGCACGAAAGGAAATCCCTATAATGTTCAAAGAACATCGTACGTTCCTAGGGAGGATAGGGACAGGAGCTCGGACAGGAGGTAAGTATTGGATTTTTTTTTGAACATCTGGAGATTATATGTTGTTGGGAATACTTCCTCAGGCAATGAATTCCAGAAATTAGTCAAAAACGAGAACAAACTCGATATAATCGAAAAAAAAAAAGATTTGGATAGTATCCACTACCTCTAGTTTTCCCAAAAATTCAATTTTTTTTTGTCATATTTCGATTCAGCGGCATCGATTTAGTGGAAATCGACTTTAATATAGCTGGTGTACTCACGTATATCATTTTTAAAAATTTGGTTTGAAAACCTAATTTTTTGTTCAAAACATGTAAAATTACTGTTCGGATGACCTTGATGACCTGAAATTCGATCTCATCAGCGACCAAATATCAACCGAAACGGACCTCTCGATTGTCAAAATTCGTCTTATTTGGAAATTTTACGATTTGGGGGGTATTGTACCCCACACCCTCCAAAAATTCCCCCTCAACCCTCTCAGCCCCACTTTTTCCTTATGCACAAACTGATTTGTAATTGTGATTTCTGACTTATTTTGTATATAGTTAGGTTACTCCTACAGGTTTTTGTTGTTTTTTGACATTGACAGATGGGACAAATATGAATAATATGAAATAAAAGTTCAAGTCTTGTCAAATTAGTATCGTTAGATTCGTCACAATATCGTTTTTTCGGAAAGTGCTTGTCAAAAAATGGTCGCCATTTGAAAAATAATAGTTAGACACGAAAATGTAATTTTGCCAACTTGTCTTATTCATATCTAACATACTCGTCACTGAAACTTCGCGATTGTAATTTTCTGATATCACCTGAGGTCCTTAGATTAGTTTACTTTGGATCATGGCCACCTAGATGTAATTTCAAAGGTGACTCCGAAAAAATTAAGTTGGCATAAAAACTTTCGAAAATGTCACATTCTGATCTAGAGTTGTCTCAGAAATCCAAAAATGTTACAATAATACAGGGTGTTCCATTTAAAAATTTAGAACCGGAGACATTTCCGGTGAAACCGGAAGTGACCGGAAAGTGAAAAATATGTGAAAACTCTCCTCTTCACATACCATTCACCTATACCAAGTCTCATTTTGATACACCTAATGGTCTAGAAGTTATGACTTGTCTAATAGATTTGTTGACACCCGGTATACCCCGATGGGGCTGAAAGGGTTAAGGGACCAAAAGGGTCTCAACAACTACTGTGCCAAGTGGCTTGCTTCTAACATAAAATGCATTATACTTTAGCGTGCCGCTAGCACTACCCTGTATACGTTTACTCACGCTGCACTCCACTCGACTGCTACTTCTTCCGGTTCACCGGTTCCCGGTTCAGTTCCTCGAGGTGTTTCGAGACCCCGCAAGAACACTTTTCCGCGGCTTCTTCTAATCAAACCAGTGAGTCGTCTACCGGTCAGCTTTTAGGTCGTACCTACATCCTCATCTCACCTGTTGAGGAAGTTCGCGATATTACATCGTTGAAGCAGCTCATTTCCGATTCATCAAATTGAGATTAGTGGTCTAGTTGTGTTGTCGAGTGAAGATTACATTTTTTGTGAGTGCATGTCCGCTTATTGGAATGATGAAGGTGTTCGATCTACAGCATGATGACTATGTAATTAGTTTTCCTTACATCCTTAATAATAGCATTTATTATACAAGGGAAAAAAGTAGTAGATTTTAGCTCCAGGTTGTGTTGTCTCCCGACGCGTAGCGGAGGGAGACAAAAAACCGTGAGCTAAAATCTAATATTTTTCCAGTGTATAATGCACTATTTTCTTCTGTGACAGAAGAGAGGACGAATCAATATTGAGAAGATATTACATTTTTTTGACATCTGAAAATTATCCTCGTGAAATTTTGAGTTTTTATCAGTAGGGACACCTGCGTTGTAGGCATCTTTATCATTCTTTTGAAGTAATCGAATATCTGATGTCACTTCCGTCAGTCTAATTCTGTGATTTGATTTCAAAAAATTGGACTTGCAGTTCTTTCTCGGAGACGGTATTATTGACTCATTTTTCGGAACTATAGCACAACAAAAGCCATCAACAGTGTATATATATATGTGATATATATCCAGGAAAAAAGTACTCACTTTTTTCCCACGGGAAAAAAGTAATTTATGAAAAGTGACATTTTATAACCTGCCAACAGAGATGAAATGCCTAACTTTTTCCCGTCACAGAAAAATATTAGATTTCAGCTCACGGTTCAACACAACCTGGAGCTAAAATGTACTACTTTTTTCCCTTGTATAATAAAATAAATAACTATATTTGTGTGAATTGTGTCTATTCACTATGAAAAATGTTCGCTCTAAATAAAATTTTACCTATACCTATGCGGGGTGTTTCAGATCAGTGTTGTGGTGACAAAAGCCTAGGGGTGATTCCTCTCAACAAAATATGTAAACAAGTTTATATGAACATGGGTTCAATAACGCTTCGTTTTTTCCAATATCTTGAACACTCTTGAGCCGATTTCAATGAAATTTTTATGGTTCATTTACATAATCATCAGACATTTACTGGACCAATTAGAATTGGTCCATAATTTGCTGAGGCGTACCCTTCGACCAAGTCGGTTATTTCTGTGATTTTTTTCGGGTTCTTCTCAAATATTCAGATAAACTCGCTAAAAATACAACATTCATGTTCCTTGATATATTTTCGTATCTTAGTTCGTTTTCGAGGAAAAAGGCAATACCATACCTCGGCATATCTCCCTGAACTCCATAAGGAAAAACAAAAATGCCGAAATATCATCGAGAAATGTATTGCACATTATCATTTATGAAAACAAAAAAGACATAAAATTCAATACTCTCTTCAAAAGGTACCTATACAATCTTCAAATTTTGTTAAAAATATTTATTTTTTCAAGATACCTATTAATGAAAAACTCATTTTTCCCACCACAACTCTGAAACACCATGTGAATATCACACAAAGTGATTTGAAATTAAGAATTGAATGTTGCTTATTTGCGATCTCGTTGCGATAACTCAAGAACGGTTGAATTTTTTGCATTCAAACTCGGTATATAGTTTCATCTTTGAATAGGCAAATTTCTAATCAGAAAATTATTTTGGACGTTCTTTTTATCAGATATTTACAGAGGGTTGTTGGTTTCATACGTCACTGATGAAATTTTGATTATTTAATATTTTTCGAATTTCCTCGTCAATATAATTGAAAAATCGCATGACCTTCAACTTAGTTTCTGGTATATTCGACTAATAGAAGCTCGCAATACAAAATTGATAGCAGCTCAATATTGAATGAAAATTCTACAACCTAGTGAACACACGGGCATTGGATTGATATCAATTGGACATCCATATTTCCATTAGATATATTCATAAGATATATATCATTCCGAGTTTAATCCATTAGATATTGACCACGGATATCCAGAAAATAATTTCCATAGACATTCAGAAAATTTCATCAGGGATGACGCGAGACATTGATCACATATATCCCCAATATATCTTCTATGAATATATCCTCGAAGATATCCAATATAATTCATATATAGTTTCATAACATGAATTATAAATATTGGCCAGAATAGGAAAACGTATATTAAAGATAATATATTTGAAAACATCACAATAACAATTGCTAGATTCATTAATAATCAACTTCAACCATTCAGGATCATTGCAAAATTGCCATGATATGAAATAATATACATACCGGGTGAGTCATTGAAATGGGAAAGTGAGATAACGACTTCGCTGTTTGACATAGATGAATAAAAATGTTTGTCATGGTCTAGGCTCATGAGAAGCATATTTCTAAATTACTTTGCGTATACAGGTTGACTCAAATATGCGTGGCGTATGAAAGTTATACTTTTCATTATAGGACACCCTGTATTTTATTACATTTCCGGTTTCTCCTTTTTGAGCTGATTCCATCAATGTATCACACTCGGAATCTAGCGGAAATGATTACAGAGATATAGGGTGTTCAAAACCGAGATTTTTTAACTTTAGGATTTTTTTGTGTTGAAACTATCAATTATTGGTCAGAACGGCTCACATGTCCCTGTATTAACTTTGGATCCACTATCTACTGATATTTAATTTGGACGAATACAGGGTAGTTCAAAATTCAGAATTATGAACCACCCTGTATTCGTTCAAATTAAATATCAGTAGATAGTAAATCAAAAGTTAAGATAGGGACATGTATGCCGTTTTGACCAATAATGAATAGTTTCGACCCAAAAAAATCCTAAAGTTGAAATATCTCGATTTTGCACACCCTATATCTCTGTAATAATTCTTGCTAGACCCAAGTGTGATGCATTGATGAAATCAGCTCACAAAGGAGAATCCGAAAATGCAATGAAATACAGGGTGTCCCATAAGAAAAAGTATAACTTTGATACGTCACGCATTTTTAAGTCACCCTGTATAAAGCGAAATATTTTGGAAATGTGCTGCTCATGAGCCTAGATCATCACAACAATTTTTGTTCATCTATCTCAAACAGCAAAGGCGTTATCTCACTTTCCCATTTCAATGACTCACCCTGTATATGTATGAATATGAAATAGTAGTAGAACTCCCAATCATCTCTATTTTCTACGAATCTAGTATAGTAGAAGGACATGTTTCGAATCAATATAGATTCATCATCAGATTAGATGTTACACATTCATTCTACAACGAATAAAGGAATGAAAATTCAAGAGTTTGATCAAACTATTGTGGAGATGACTGGAATTTCTACTACTACTTCATCATGGGCGCCGCCAGAAAAAACTTTCAAGGAGGTGTATCTGCATCCACACACAATACCATTTACTAATGAAACCGAAATGAAACATTAAGTATGCGTATGCAGTGTCTATTAGAAAGTTACGAGAAGTTAGCATCAAATAATTAATTTCGGGAAACGAAATTAATCGCTAAAAATATGCTTATATTTGTATGAATTTCAAAAAAGCACGCAAAAAAGGTAAATCCGATTTTACACATGTGTCATGTGTTTCGAATTTGAATGTTCGATTGCAACATTTATATTTTTATATTTCTTTGAATTTTTACGAAATTTCTGTGATATAATAACAATAACTCCGACGAAACTCTCGGATACCAGTAGCTTTATCATGCTACTCCTCGAGCTTCTCCTCTAACTTTCAATTACTAATAATCGACGAAAATATGGTTTTTTTCAGAAAATGAAAATTCCGCTTTGAATTTCTGTTATGTTTGATGCAATATTGATGAATCGTCAAGCATTTACAAGCGAATTTTATTCTAATGGAATTTTTTAGTTCCAAAAGATGCCAACAACCAAAGTCATCAATCAAAATATCATCAAACTACTTTATGTTTCTAAACAATACTCAGGACATTTAGACGGAAATAACAATTAAAAAATATCAAAAACTAAAATTTGTAATAGAACGTTCAAATTCGAAACACATGTGTGAAATCGAAATAAAAATGACTTTGCTCTGTAACGTTATCCATCGACGAATATCTTATGAATGTTCATCTCAAGCCAAGGAAGAAAGTAAAAGTACGAGTTCTTTTTAGAGCATGTATTTCTTACGAAAATGTTTGAGAACAAAAAAAAATTTTTGAGCACCTGCTTTCTTTATCTTATATGGAGGGCTATCGATACAATATCTTCTAGCTTCTAACTTCTAGAAGATATCCGTTCTGAACCGTTACCACCGATACAACAAGGCCTGCATGCTCCGTGGGTGACGTCACTTAGTGAGGCCTAACCAGCGGCTCGAAACGACAAGCGCTTATAGCGCTATAAGGCGACCGCGTATTTCGATTTTAGTTTTAGATCATCATTGAGCCGATTTTGCTGTTTTTTGAAGGGCTTCCGGTTGAAAAAGGATGCCAGCCGTCAACTGAGCCCTTCTTCGCACCCCATTCGATTTTATTATGGAAAAACGAAGTTTTAAAGCAAAAACCAGGATAAAACACAAATATCCACCTACAGCAACCCATTCGAATTAAATATATTGGCAAAAATTGTGGTGAAGGTAAACTTCACACCTACTTATACAGGGCCCGCAGAACATAAACTTATCGTGAGATTGATCGAAAGAAAATTGTGGAAAATGTATTTTATTTTGATTGACATGCCGTTTGTTACAATCACCTATATTTATCTTGAAGAATTCCTATTAACTGAAAAAATAACCAGTGAGTGTTTTCAATTTTCTGTTGTTGGATTTTTCACCCAAGTGGATCGTTACACTTGAAACCGTAATTTTTAAGGGTAAAATTGCATTTATCATGCGATGGTTTTTTTTTGAAAATTTTTTTCGGTACTCACGTATTTTTGTCTGATAAACCGAATTTTATAATGAAAATGTGAACAAACCATTATTTATTGAGATATTTCAAGAAAAAGTTCGAAATTTCGCCTTCTTTCTCCCCTTGTGTTGGGGGCATTTGAAGCTACTTGCTCTTATTTTGTCATTGGACACTTTATATACTCATGATGTACTTCGATGGCACATTTTTATATAGAAAATTCAACAGGAAATATGATTTTTATGGCGAGTTTTTCATATTTAGTGAACAAGCATTCCAGATGACGACGATTTAATCAATAGTCAATCAAAATA